AATTTACCTCCAAAATTCTTTGGATCGTTAGAAATTTTTTTACAAAATCAGTTTCCAAATGATGCCAGGAAAACTTAACTGTTTTAACTGCACAGGAAAACATACTCAGCTGTGGAAATAGAGGATGATTTGCCTTTGTCTCAGTTTATCCCCAGGAAACCAATTTTTTTCATCCTAGATTAATTCAGCATTATGCACCATTACCTCCAGATTACTCAAGCATAACCAGCACCAATAAACTATAATTAAATCCACTCTTTGTCACAGGCACATCAGACTGACTAAACAAGCACATTTGCATATAGATTACCTTGCTATTTGTCTGCTTGGAAAGATTTTTTTGTGACAAAAATCGGCTCCTGGACTAGCATGTGTGCGCATGCACACACAGAGACACTCAGTGCACAAAATAAACATCACATTCACCATTTCTGCTCAGTGCAAGAGATGCTGCTGCCAGCACGATGAACAGATCCTTTCCTTCCTGGTGGAATCTACTTGGTTTTGAACTTTAGAATATGAAATAAATCACAAAAGGTCTCATCCATTTCCACAGCATTCCCCATGTAACATAGTAGATGATGAATGAGAAGATCTACAGGGAATCCATGTACAAAAGTGCACATTTCTAAATGCAAAGGTGACTGTGAGGAACCAAACCATTCCTACTTGCTGTGTGTGGTGTGTGAAATTAGTTTTTCTCTGAAGGACAAATATTTTTGTTGCCTCACTGTTCCTCTCCCGGGAGTGGCCAGCACTCTCTGCAGGGTGGCAGGGAGAGATGTGCTGTGACCTTCTCATACCTGCTCTGCTGGGAGCAGAGAGACAGATCTGACCTTGACAGATGCAGGTTGAAGTGAGAGTCTTCTTTCACACTTGGCTTTCCTATCCTTCCTTCTTTTCTGCATGTGGAGGTCTCTGTTATGGAAAGACTCACTTTATCTGATGTCAAAGTGCAGGGTGGGATCTTCATATTTATGTAAGCATTAAATTTAGGCTGAGTAAAAATCTGCATGCTTATGGGAGCAGATGTCCCAAAAGTATTTTATTCAGAGGCTCTCTCTTTAATATGCTGAGGGTTCTTTACGGCTTTGGGGTTTTTTTTAAATGTGGGACTTCCTTTAAGAGAGGAAGGCTTGTTTAGCAGTGGTATAGAATAACTCCATTTAAGAGGGTTGGAGCTCAGCACAGATCAAGTAGACACTGGGAAATAAAACAGTTCTTCAAGCTTTATAGTTGCCCCAAAGCCTAGGGATTCCTGAAAACCAGCTCTATCCTAGCCTCTGTGCCAAGCTGCACTCTCATCCCCAGCCATACTGGTTCTGATCTGCTGCACAGGGACAGCTCAAGGTGACCCTGCTCTCTGACACCAGCTAGCCAGCTGTGCTCTTTTCAGTTGGTCCCAGCTGGCCTTTCTGCTGCCTGAGAGTAGCTGATATGAGGAAGTAGCTGCTTTGTTCCGTTACTGCACTTGTGTCCTGAATCATCCTGAAACGATCATCCTGAATAAGCTCAGCAAAGTGCTCTCTCTTTTGCTGGTAAACACTGTGGTGTGCTTTTGAGCTGTTTCTGGCACACCACCCTTTCCCCCGTTATCTCCTCAGTGTGTTGGTGGTTAACCAAGAAGCAAAAACACCCCCCATTTTTGCTCTGAGCTATAGTAGGTGCAGTGGGGTGTTGACATAATGGGAAGAAATGACAGGCAAGGAGCACTCACAGCACATCGTACTTCTCTAGCTGTAAGAGGAACATCCTACAGGATGGAACTGCAGACAATAATATTTATATTTGAGCTAGTCTAGATGCAGCTCCAACATCACAGGCTGCAAAACTCACCTCAGTTTCAGGCTAAGCATTAAAGCAACCTATCACAGGCTGCAAAACTCACCCCAGTTTCAGGCTAAGCATTAAAGCAACCTGCCCATGACAAGCATGATCTTGTTGTTGCTACACTAATATGTTGCTACACCAGTACCCAAGCTAAGTAACCCAGGTATGATCACCGAAGTAGAAATTAAATGGCTAGTTTAGAGAAGAAACAGGTCAGAGGGAGCTGCTGGCTCCTAGTGACTGGATGCACGTTAGCTGGGACAGGCACTAGGATCAAAGGCTCACTGTCTCTGCAAGCCCCACACCTGACTGCAGCCTAGAAGAGATGAGAAGAAGTCCACATCCCATTTAGAGAGATCAAGGTGAAGCAACATTCAAAGAAATGTCATGAACACTTTGAGGCAACATACTTTTTGTTCAGGGCAGTGTCAGACAACCTGAGAAATCTCATTGTTCTAGCTAAAACCAAGTCACCAGGCCTGTGGTTAACATCAGTTACAGCATTCCTCTTTCCTTTAAATTCTTGGCAATGCCTAGCACATAGATGGCAAAAAAATGCTTTTCTCATTTTTATAATATTTCTTCTCCAATAAAGACAAGCCATAAAGATGACCAAGGTTGGGGGGAGGCAAAAGGAAATGTCTTATCTTTTCTCCCTGCTAATATGAGACAAGACCTTCAAAGGCAGGTACAAATGTTACTGGTTTTAGCCTAAGAAGGCTCCTCATTCAAATGGGGACTGGAGGAAAAGAAAATATGCTTCCTTCAAGCATGAGGCCATATTCAAACTCACTGTCTATTTGCTGCCATTTGAATGAACGAAGGCATTTCCCTATTCTTGAAGTAAGGATGCCAATTAGCTTAACCAGGCAGAAATAAATATGCTATTTTTTCAACTCAATGCTCAAACCTAGAAAATTATGTCTGGTTCTGAACTCAGCAGGATTTTCCACCTAGCACAGAAGCAATTTACTCCTGAAGCTGGTAAGCCCTTGCATTTCTTATGCACTATAAAGTACAAGCTGGTCTTTTGCCTCTGAGCTGGGCAGGTTTTTTTGTTACATTTGAAACATAGCAGAAATAAGTAACTTGGTGGATGACCACTTGCTTTTTTCACACAGCCATTCCTAAGGGGATCCTTAGAAAGCAACAATTCTTTAAAAATTGTAGTGGTATTATTCAAAAACATTTCAAATGGCATTACAGCTTGCTGGGGCTAATAAGGACAGCAGACTAACCTATTTTCCAAAATGTGAAAATTTCCCTTGATTTACAGTCACCTCAGTGAACAGCTATCATAGGTTATGGCTGCTACTCTTCCAATGACTTTCCTCTGTTTGTTGTAAGACAGGTAATCTTATCCTGCAGCCAACATAAACAAATAACTGGAAGAGAACCTCCACAGAGCCCACTGTCCCAAGGCACACACAGGGGAATGGAAGAGCTCTGAAAACACCATAGACCTTTGACTGTGGAGTAATTTCCAACCAGCTTTGACTGAGCTGGGCATCCAAATTCCTTCAAAATTACTAGGTAACCAGTATAATAAAGACAAATGCTTACCCATTAAATTCATTGCCTTTTTCCGCTCACTGCACCTGTGTGCAGAAGAACTGTCATTTTGAGAATGAGGACTTCATTCTCAAAACATGGCAAGATGATAAATATCTCAAGTATGATGGTTTGTTTTTCCTTTGATGTGTCAGTACAAGTGTCTCCCAGGAAGAGAGATATTTTCTTCTGGGAGACTTCCATATAAAACCAGACAGGAACATAATGTGACTAAGTGTGATAGATGGCTCTATGTTACTGTCCTCACACTTTTGTGTCACCTAGCATCCAACCAAGAGAGACCAACATTTAACTTTGCTCTTTCCATTAGCCCACAGATCTTACATCCTCAGCTTCAACCTCCAAAGGTAAGAGGATACAACAGAATTCAACTCAGCAGCATGTCTTCAAAAAGGTATATACAGAATTCAAATTTATGTGCAGAAATTATAAAAAATATAATTGCACCACCTTCAGAAAGCCACCCTATGTGGGAGGCTTCCACTTCTGAAACAACAGATTTGAAGATATCAATACGTGCCCATACTTCCTGACCAACTGTAGCCACTGAAGAGACAGACATTAAAAGAAGCTATGTCTACCAAATGATGATTTGTAGGAATGAAAATGAGGAACAGTCACTTAACACAATCTATTCATCATCTACTCATCGTGTTGCTCGGAAATAATGATCTCATCAATAGGATGTTTGTTCTAGGATACTGCAAGCACATTTTAGAAACAATAGAGCAGACAGTTTTGCTGAGTAGGTTTCATACATTTATAAGCCTATTACACATAAAGCTTTCCCCAGTGAGCTTTTGATCTTCTTCACATGTCATGTTGAACGTACAGCGCTAACATCACGCATCAAATAAAACAAGCATTTCAGGTGAGTTGTGTCTTTTTGCTACTGTAAGTAGCATACCTCTTTTCACAGAAGATGGCAGTTAAGTTTGTGCTCAATCCCTTCACCAGCTTTGCTGCTCTTCTCTGGACCTGCTCCAGCACCTCAATATCCTTCCTGACCTGAGGGGCCAAGAACTAAGCACAGTACTCAAGGTGTGGCCTCACCAGCACCGAGTCCAGGGGCAGAATCACCTCCTGGTCCTGCTGACCACACTGTTCCTGATCCAGCCCAGGATGCCATTGGCCTTCTTGGCCACCTGAGCACCCTGCTGGCTCATGTTCAGCTTTCTATCTATCCCAGCCCCCAGGTCCCTTTCTGCCTGGTGCTCTCCAGTCACTCTGTCCCAGCCTGGAGCACTGCATGGGATTGTTGTGGCCAAAGTGCAGGACCAGCACTTGGCCTTGTTAAACCTCATCCCGTTGGAATCAGCCCATCCCTCCAGCTTATCCAGGTCCCTCTGCAGAGCTCTCCTGCCTTCCAGCAGATCCACACTCCCCCCCAAATTTGACATATATCACAGGACTATCAGTAATAAAACTAAGGTTCTAAATGTGTGCTCCTAATCAAGAATGCAGCAAAGAAGAAATCAGACATGATTTTTTAGGAGGTATTCTATCTTATCAGGGTCCCTGGAGCTTCAAACTTAAACATGTTCACATAAAAAAGAAACTGTGTGACATTTGCAGAACTTATTTTTCTTGTACATTACCTTTAAGACAAAGCAGTGATCTGTGGGTGCCTTATATTTCACTTTGTGTTGATAACCGTAATACACGTTCATGTTCTCAAACTGAAGGAAACATGCCAGATCCCGCGACGTCTACAAATCAAAACCAAGCACAGCATTGTTAGAACAAACTGAATTTGGACGTGAAACTCATTAATAAGACCTTTTTCAAGGTGCTCCTGAAGCTGGTAAGCCCTTGCATTTCTCCTGCACTATAAAGGACTTTTTCAAGTACGTGAATGCCAATGCTTCTTATTTCTGTTACTGTCAAAAAAACTGACTGAAAAAAATAGATTAATTTTTAGCGTGCGCATTCTTAAACTAACAATTGGAAGAAGGTTGGTATACATTAGGCATAATATATAATAATGCAGTGCAAAAGTTTTCTGCTGTTCTGGTTTTGCTGTGCTTCATTGCTTTGTGTGGAAATTTTGGCTTATGACTAGTAAGACCAAAGAGAACACCACAGTAAGAAATAACTTCAGTGAAACAGATCTAGGACTTGCAAGCACACCCTTACAATTCTGAGTGGAGAAAGAAGGTTTGGGGTTCTAAACTGTTTTGGGAGCTTGTTTTTCTTTCATCTATGTAACAAATTCTCGTTAGGAAACAAGCACACATTTCATCTGTTTTGCTTTGAATTTTCCCAAATTTCCGGGCATCATTCCTTTTCTGTTTATCTTAATATTTGCTTGTTCACCATATATTGCTAAAGGTTTCTGTTGCTGGCATGTTTCTCACTGAAGAATTGTGTATAAACTGCATAACTTTCACAATCTCTTGAGTGGAAATGTAAAAATAGCTATGTCATAGGGTCACTGTTGGCTAAAGTGCAATATCAGGAAATTGTGTGGAATAAAAAGAGAAAAATGAAAACAACAAACCACAGATTCCCTCTAGCCCTAAGAATGGGCTCATATTTCTGTGTATGATGGTTCTTCTGTGCTGTTCTCACTCTTAACAATACTTTCATTACAACACATCCTTGAGTTGGCTCCATTTACAAATCAAGTTTGCAGGTAGGATTAGTGGGGAGAGGAAACACTCCATACTGTATGTAGACAGGGCTTCTGTCTCTCCCCTGCCTCCACTGCAGCTGATGTCAGAGATTTTGTCATTGACTGGGTGGGCCTAGGTTTTTCCAACACTGTAAGTTCCTAAACATGCTCAAATCCATGCACTGTAATGAGTTATTCCTTTCTTTCAGGAACCAGGCAATGGTAATTAAGACCAATAAGAATGCAGTTGTTATTTTCTTCTAAGTAAGGGACAGATTTTTATGCAATGGACAAAGGCTTATTGCTAGTATTTCTGCAATGTTAACATGACAAAGCAACGGAATTAACAGAAATAGATTTTTTAATTGTGTCTTTGATTCTGATGCTGCTGTTTTGTGACCTGTCCATTAACAGCATGTCTTTGGATGGGATATAAATAGAGCAATGCTGGGAAAAAAAAAAGAAATTTAGACAGAAGTGCTGGCTGAAGCAATGCTGGAAAAAAGAAAGAAATTTAGACAGAAGTGCTGGCTGGTGCTGGATCGTTAACAAAAAAACCTGAAACAACAAAATCCACCACAGGCATGTGTGCAAAATTATCTGAATGTGTTCCTGTATTTTCACATTCGCCGTGTGTTTTACAGCCAACACAAAGTCCCAAAGGTGTGTCAGCCTTCTTAGTGTTTTTATAATGAGTGAAACCATGAATATATGATGAATTTTAAAACGGCTGCAGCAGCTGAAGGTACTAGCTGTTTGTTTCCATAGCTCCAAGAAAGAGCACTCTACCCACAACTGAATGACATGCCAGATGCATGTGCACTCTTCATACCACCCTGACATGGGGTGAACTCTCATAGTTTAAGGACTTTGACTGAAAAGCTCTACTGAATTCTGCTGCAGTGCTTTAAGATGTTTAGCACCCTCACTGTATACTGCTCATCCACCAGAGATTACTGTCTCCAAAATGGACATGTGTACCTGAGCCTCAGCTGTTCCAATACTGAGTGCACTAACTTAGGTCACCATTAAACAGAAATTTGGCTGAGACTTTGCTTTCTCTGGAATGGCTAAGACATGCAATATGCATCCTTTTGCTGAAGGCTGTTATATATGCAGGAGCAAACAGTTGACTGTGGTACCATTTGAAAGAGCTGTGACTATCTCCTGAAGGACTAGATTTAAGGTGCTCAGTCCCTGTGAGTGGCTGCTGTTGGTAACACAGTGATTTTAAAGCACTCATACAGTTCCTAAAAATGACTCAGTTATATGCAGGGTGGCACACAGGTCGTAAGAACTAACAATAAGGAGTTAAATACATGCCACAAGGTGACTCTGTGGCACCAGCTGAGCCTAAATTTGCAGCTTAACACCTGGAAAAAAGAAAGCACTTTCCTCATTTGCACTGTGACAAAAAGTCACTGAAAAGGGTGTCACTGGATGATGAAAAAAGGCTGAGTAACTACCAGGATATGTTTTCCCTGCTTTGGCACTGTGCTACTGGTTGGAGGCATGTCCAAGAGAGACTTCTCATTTCACTGTTCTTACACTTTTTCCACCTTAAGTGCTTTCCAGATCTTAATTTTTTTTCTAGATTTTTCTAAATTTTTTTCTAGATCTTAATTGATAGAATGTTGTAAGTGCATTCTAGATCTTAATTGATAGAATGTTGTGTGTGCAAAATGACTTGAGGAGTGAAAACTGTCATCTCAGGGTCAGGTAAAGGCAAAATAAACTGCTGTGAAAGCTGCAAGGCAACCTAAATCTGTGTTTCAGTGCAATTTAGTTATAAACACAGGTCACTGGAGCAGCACCACAGCATTCCTTTATAAGATATAAAATGTTTTGCCCTTTGTAATTTAGTCAGGAAATAGCAGAACAGGAAATAGCAGAACAGTTAAGTTTCACAGCACAAATCATAACAGCAAAGCTTCACCAGCAGCACTAGCATTTCCAAATATGAAGCATTAGCAGAGCTCTAAGTGGTAAGAGAAGTGGTTTTCAGAATAAATAAATAAAATAAATAAATCATACAAGTCCCAGAGTGCACCATTCTCCCTAATCACGGAGGAAATGAGGAGCCAGCCACCCTTACGTGCAACATATCCAAGACCACTTTGCTTCTCAAGTGCTGGCAATTCAGACTCTTTAAACATTTTGCAATACTAAATGTCAGTGCATTTGATTCAGTCAGGTGGATACTTGTGTCTTATTTCTTTCTACACAAAGGGCAGGCTTAAAAAGCCTTAAAAGGCACAACACGTTCTCTAGGTAAAGATCACTGTAGGAAAAAAAGTAGAGTATTTCTGCATGCTGGTTGCTGGTGAAGAAAGTTGGTATCAAACAGACTAAAATTCTATGTTTTCTTTGTGACAAGAATTAGTTTACTCGAAAACTTTTACAATATTGTTCCTCAGGGAACCAATATAACAAGGAAGCATTTTGGCAGTGTAACACCAGCTGAAGGGTGCAATGCTGTTTTTCTTTCCCCTACTGACTTCTGGAGGAGTGATATTTCATTAATGCTTTTATCTACCCCTAAAAATCAAACGGAGAGAAACGTGCCAGGATTCAGTGACTACATTCTAGTATTTGCACAAGTGGTGGAGTCAAAGTTAAACCATAAAAACCCCCAACCCTCTCAGATGCACCAGACAGTTCTCTTAAAATGTCATCCTGGGAGTTCTTCACTTTCACCTCCATGAATTGTTTTATTGCTAAAAGGATTATTTGACTTCCTGACCTTGGTTTTTCCTTTGGGTACATAATAAATTCCAGAAGCTCGTAGAAGAAAATAACGTCTCTTCCAGGACTTTTTTCCATCTTCTTTTAAATAAAGGGCCCCTTCAAGCTCTGGCACAATGACAGATGTCCCACAGAAGCTTTCCTGTGCAACAAGAATAATAATGCACCAAATAAACCAATTTAAGCACAACCCTATTAATAAAGAGCAGAAAAATGCTCCTTTGAAAATAAAGACATATCCTGTGACAGTGAACATAGAACATGGGGAATGCAGTGACCAGGGAGATGAACACCTTGGACAGGCAAAGGAAACTTTTCCAAGCTAATGTGGTAATTTGGCCATCCAAGCTGGGCACTCAACTCTTGAAAAATAGGCTTGCAAAACCTCCATTCCCTAAAGGGTCAAGCAAAAACCTACAAAAGGTTTTAACTAGGCCTAGATGTGCTCAGTGAAGGCAACAGAACAGAAAGATTGGTATTGTTGCTGGGGGGTTTTCTCTTCTGCTGCACCTATAGTTTCTGTATAGAAATACTTCCGTAGAGAGATGTTGAGAGACTGCTTAGAGCTCTAAAAGCAGCTAAAGGAAAACACCACCTCAGTCTCTGGTTTAACTTTGAAATACATGCTAGCATTTACAACACTGTTTAAACAAATATACTGATTTGCTTGAAGGACCTACTGCTGGGTGATTTTTAATAACAACGTGTTTATCACTCAATGTTTTTATTGAGATTCACCAGGACTTCTGCTGATTGACATCTGGTGCCTTCATGAGTTGCTCTAATTTTGAAATGTGAGTCCTCAGTCACCTGAGAAAAGCATTTGCTTTGTGAACTTTCACCAAACTGAAAATGTTTGCCTGAAGAACTGTGATAACCTTTTCTTTCATATAGCTCTGGATTTTTCTCTCTCAAGCACACAGCTGAAGCAAAACTTGAGCAGAAAAGGCAAGAGGTTAAACAGACTTTCTGGAAAAGCAGAAAGGTTCTTTTTCTGGTGTAGTACAGCTAATAATTTGAGGTATTGAGAAGTACATTTACTTTTAACCCAAAAGAAACTACTGATCAACCTTACTAACAATAAAAAGTCCCAGGGGCCTAAGGGTGCAACAGCTGTTTTGTATAACAGTTTTGTATAATACTGTTTTTATTGTTATTGTGGCATTACTCTTCATAGAAACACTAAGTAAAAACGTTTCATGGTATTGGGGTCTACAACAACAAAACAATTCTCCATCATTTATTTTCTCTGATAGGGGATACAATCTGAATGTTTAACGGGGAGCAGCAGATGCAGAGGAAAATCCACATATTAAACCTGAGATACAAAGACACCAATGATCACAGAACTTTGTGTTGTTACACATTTGCCCACAACGAACTAAATGCTGTTATTTCAGAGCAGATGCAGATGGTGGCAGAGTTTTGGTGACATTTATGTCATCAACCTAATAAGTTGTCTTACCTCCAGTAATGCCTCTTTGTTTTTATCATTCATTTCTTTGCTTTCATTCTTCCCTTTGTTTGCCAGGTAGAAGTTCTGATTAAGACACAAAAGAAATTGATGTGCATTATAAAACCAGCAATACAAGTAACTAGGTTACTACAAACTCACTCAATAGTTACTGAGTCTTTCAATATTGAGTGCCCAAGCCAGCAGGTGCAAGAGGCAGATGCTTATGGACTCTCCTGAAAGACCCATTTAATCATGCCTGCCTGCTCATGAGTTTAAATTCTTTATTTTGAATGTAATTCAAAAGTAATAAAAAATTACTTTTGCCTATATATATATAGCCTCCCAAAATTAAAACAGTGGCTTAGGGTTTTGCCTATTTTTCTGGATCAATGGGTTTGATTTTAGCATTCCAATTTTCACCACTTCCAATATTATTACAGTGGGTAGAGAATGTAACCTTTGATTACATACTGATATGCAATGAATACAATGCTGTATCAAAAGGCTAGCAAGCATTTTTTCTAACAACTCAATTTGGTAATTTGCATGCTTCATATCTTGCACTCTGGATATAAGTCAGCTCTCAATTTTGAATAAAAGTGCTTATATGCCAGAACCTTTAACCAAAGTTACTCCTTTTAAACCCTTGTTCAAGCTCTGCAAAGTATTTTTATGCAGTGAAGAAAGTATTCAAAAATCTAGAAGAAATCCAAAGAAATGACCACCGTGATACCTTGGAACATGTGCTCCAGACTACTGAAAGAAAAGCCTACACTCCTCTGTTTCTGTGCCAGAGGGCTGTGAAGCTGCAAACACCCTGAGAGGACCTGGTGCCTGTCTGCTCCTGCAGACAAGGAAGCACAGCACCTCATGCATGCACTTACCAGTAGAAAGAAATTCACCCACTGTTAAAAACCAACAACAACTCTGCATCCATCTGCATTGTACAGATGAACAAAAGGACAGCACTTGGAATATGTGCAAATTCTGGCAGTGGGAAGGTGGATCAGGAGCATGCTAGGACTTGTGTGCTGGAAGATGTGCAGTGGTGTTGGAGAATGGTGGGACATAATCCTGGGAATGCACCTGGGGAAGGCTAAAAAGAGCAAGGACACAGTCCCCTGGGAATGCATGGACACAGCCCTGGGAATGCACCTGGGAATGCAGTGTACAAGCAAGGCTCTGGAGAGAGTAACTTGTATATAGATAGGGGGTAACTCAGCTGGGCAGAAGGCAGGGGCAAGTTGTCCCTGAGTGTGAGACAAACAAGTTTGAGACAAACAGCTAGGAATGCACCCAAGCCTGGGAAAATAAGAGATAATCCTCACAGCCGTAACTGCAAGTAGGGAGAGTACCTGAATGCTATCTCTAGAGCTTAGCCAATTATAAATGATTGATAGTTATATGCTTGTCATGCACTGTATAAAAAAGAGCCTGTCGGACAATAAAGTTGGGGCTTGCTGTATCACTCACACGGAGTCGGCCGCTTGCCTCCCCGCGCGGAACCTTCACCTTTCCCAACACAGTGGCTTTGCTCAACAGCAAATGTGGCCAGGCAAGCCGAGCCTGGCTGCCTGCAGATTGTGAGGCAGCTGGGTGTGAAGGAAGCAGGTAGATCTAGGATGCCATGCATGAAGTAGCATTTGCATCCATGGGCTTGAGGCCAGAATGATAACACTCAAAGTTCTCATGTTTTATAATTTTTCAGTTTATCTGAATTTTCATCTCTCTCCACTTTTTCATGCCTCAAGACTGTGAGAAAGTGACAACATATTTACATGCCTAGAACTCCACAACCACTAAACTGCACCATAAATGCAAACACTACCAAAACACCTGTGAGAAGCAGGTAAATGAAGTAACATGCTGTTGCCACAGCATAAGAAAGAAACAAAGAGCAGATCTGCCCTGCCAGCATACCATGTTTATAGTAACAAGGTTTATCTGAAGTGAAACCCTGTTCTTCCTCACAACTCCGTCTACATTTTGAAGCAGTGCTGTGAACAGCTGTCTGCCAGAACACAAACCTCATAGCAGATGGTTTTGGCACCAGGAGAGGAAGGGGAAGAGGTCTGGATCTCAAAATCAGTTCTTTAAAAGCCGCTTTTTTAAAGGTACACATCAAGTCAGGCAGGGAACAGCAGAACTGCTTTCTTAAAGGTTCACATCAAGTCAGGCAGGGAACAGCAGAAACACAGCCACCTGCAATTTGGCCTATGCTGATGTCATGTCGATAGTATGAGAAACTTGAATATTCAATACAATAGACAGTTGTCCTAGGAAATCCAGCTGGCTTCAGACTACCTGGACACATTTTTAGTCCACAGCTGAAGGTAAGCAAACACTAAGGACCACAGCTTTGCAACTACATCTGAACAGTATTCACAGTGGAAAAAAACCCTAAACAGCTTAAAAGTGGGTTCTCAGTAGAACCCAGAAAGCTTGCCCATGCAGTCCAAAACTGTTGGTCTGGCTGAGTGACACTGCTCCACTCATGCCTCTAGAAAAAAGGGACATTGCTGTAAACATTTAGCTGCTCAGAACAGCATTGTTCTGCAGCCCAGTCCTCTTGCAAACGCAACAGCTCTCGTTAACAGGCAGCACTATCACAGCCCTGCTGGCTTGATGTTGGCACACTCACTTGTGCACCCATGAAGGTATGCAGAGAAACCTCAGAGGGCAACGACAGGCTGGGTTGGGCCTCCAGACTTTGGGATGGATTTGGAAAGTAGAGGGATATGCAAGCTGTAAGCCTTCTTCTATAGATCATTCTAAAGACATAGCACACCCCCTAAAATACACAATGAAGATTTATCAGGTAAGTACACCTGATGACTGCTTCAACAAGGTTGGCCTCATCAGCTTTTCCACTGGTGGAGAGAGCATTCATCTGGCTCAGTCAGCCTTCCATGCACTGATAATAAGAAAACAAAGCTCCTCTGATTATAACTGATTCACATTCAGGCATCTGGCATTTATTTAGCAGAAGCACAGACCACCCTGTCCTGACACAATCAGTTGTAAAGAGAGAAAGTTTGTAATGATATCCATGCTGGACCTCTAACACTGCAGCTTTTTCATTAGGGAAACAGGGCTCCATCACCTAACCCAACGTTACACATATGTACACTGTCATCTTTCACTTGTCAACACACATTCCATTTGTTACTGATTACCTCCTTGAAGTCTCTGCCCCTAAATCTGGAAGTATATGGTACTTATTATTTGTCAGTGGCTAAAAACTTGGGGAGTAGACTGTACACTGTACTTGTTTTATCACTGTGTGGTTTCCTATTTTTGATCAGAAGCATTCATGCTAGAGGAAGCAAACCACCTGTGTCCACAAGAGGTCATTTCAAGTCCAGTAGTCAAAGGTCATGATAAAAGGCAAGCTCTTTCCTGTGTGAGGACACCACTGGGAAATGCATGTTTGGTTTGGGATGTCAGGTCATTCATTAGTAGGACAAGATGTGGCTACAGGGCAGCTCTCTGCATATATCTACAAATTTGATAATTAATTGTATTTTATGTTCAAAAGACAAGCCTATGCATACAGCCTTTCCACTCAGGGATACAGCCATCTCATTTTGTATGGAAAGGCAGGTAAAAAAATAATCAGGCCATATCTCTCTCCACTGTATGACCATCAAACAGCGAAAGACAGAAAGTGTTTTCAATAGCTTCAAAGAACATGTAAGCATGTAAGCAAACCAAACCTGGATCATGGTAGAAACAATAGCCTTAAATACTGCACTGTCAAACTCTCTGATTGGTGTTCACATCTCTGTATTCATAAAAAAGAATTTCTTAAACAAAACAGCACCTCTCTCATACCTTTCATCTCTTTTCATACACAGCCCCATCCAAGTAGGAATGCACCAACAACTCCTTGTCAGTACCTAGCAAAAAACAGATGTTCCAAGACAGTTCCAAGAAGCTCCCTCTGCTTCCCCTCCTGCTTAGGCTGTATTTTTGCTTTCAAGCTATTGAGACTTATTTTCCAGAAGATATGCAAGGTCCACATCAGCACAGATCAGATAGTGTGCAGAAAACAAGGCAACTGCTTCATACTCGTGACTATCTTCTTTGAGCAATGAGCTGCTTGTTTATGCTCATCCAATCTGCACCCAAAATGAGGCCAGAACTGGCCAGCTCACATCCCATTTCAGATCATTGCAGCTGTGTACTGAATGCAGCATAGCTGCTGCAGAAAAAATAAAGTGAAACAGTCATATGTGATGTGCTCCCTAGAGAGTTGCACACTAAAAATGTTAGAAGATATCTATAATTGCTCTGAAGATCAGAAATGTACATAAATATATGAAGCTAAAAGCAAAGTTCTTTTGAAGCCCTAAAAAAGAGTGAGAAATTAAGATTACTAAACAATGGGAGCACAGTGAAAAACACTTCCCTTTTCTCACTTCTATTTCTTTGCACTTTTGCCAGAACACTCAATAATCAGGTTCCCTGCCACACTTCTATGTTTCCTTCAGTGGGTACAGTGGAGACAATAGAAAAACCTGGATTCCTAAAAGTGGCCAAAGTGGTGAAAAATGAACGTATCACCTAGTGGATACTAGCCCAATTTCACTGACTTAAATATTCAAGCATAAAACTCACTACACCTGTCCAGTTTTGAAAGACATTACAAATTCTTACTCCACCTCCTCCTGACACTGTGGAGAACTCTTGCTTTGCATAAGAAATAAAATGTCAATTCAGTGCCTGGGTTCTCCACTGGAAGGTGTAGCTCTGGCTTTTGGCTCACCATATGAGGGAGCAGAAGCATAAAGTACTCACTGTACAGACTTTCAATAATTTTTATAAATACCACCCAATCATAAAAACAACCAAAAATCCCACATGCATGTGGTATAGCCTGCACTGTTTGACTTTACCAAAAGAAAAACACAGGAAATCATAGTTCATGCAAGCAAAAGTAATATATAGTATTCTAAGAGCATGACCAGCATTTTACAGTCAGATGCCCCTTAAAAATAACTCTGTTACCTTCATTTTTCTTTCTTTTAAGAGTATCTTTGAGCTGAGAATTATTCTTCGAGATTTTTGAAAAGAGGTGTTAAGACCTGACAACCTTTTCTTTCAAGAGGAAGGCACAGCATCACTCAGCCACATGACAAAGCATCACCTTTCCCACGTTATGAAGGTTTTCTTTATTTGCCCATGTACCAGTATGTATTTTTGTTTCATTCTTTAGTCATAGGCTTGTGATGCTCCATCTCTGGAGATGAGTCACCGATGCAATTCATGGAATAATCTTTTGCTGCAAGTTCCCTGCAGGGTATATTATATCACAGTGAGGAAAGGGAAAAAGTGTGCCTGTCTTCATGGAAGAGGGGGACACCTGAGGATTTCGCATTAGCTTTTTCTAAAATGTATTCCAAATAATTTAAATAATTCTTTTAGAAACAAAGCTGCATAAAAATACTAGTGAATATTGCATGTCAAGATGACAATCTTAAAAAAATGCCACTGACATTAGCTGAGCAACATGTTGCTAGCACAGACATAGAGAATGAATCCTGCATTTCAGAACCTCAGGTCAGCCTTAGAAAATGAAACACATTTAATTAATTGTTGTTTAATCTATAACAGGTCTATAACTAGTTCATGAAAAGAACCAATGAACATTGGCACAGGCCACAGACCTTCCCCAGTGGTCCCCTTGTTTTAGCAAGGCATCTGAACATCTTTGTAACAAGATTATTTTTTTTTAAAGCACTTACATGTGTCAGACCTCTATAACCAAAATTCTGTATCACTAACTTGTCTAAGGATAAATTGTAGGCACCTGGCCACCTTTGGAATTTGCCTCTTTTTTTCCCAGAAAAATACCTGTAAGTTACAAAACTGTGAAATCTCTGTAGACAACTTCCAATAGAGGGCTAGGTATGACCAATAACAAATTCAACTGCTGCTGCATTACCACCACTGGCTATGTCAAAAAAACCATTCTGCAATTTCTGTCCCCACAAAATCAGTTTACAAAGCAGACAAAAAAAAACATTCTGCAATTTCTGTCCCCAAAAACTGGCCCCACAAAATCAGTTTACAAAGCAGACTTGAATGAGTTAGGAGAAGGAGGCTGAATATACTGAGAATACAGTGTCAGAGCACTAGGTTTCAGTTTCCCATTGGTTAGACTAGAATTTCCATAAGTAGTTAGCTATGTAATCATACACCCTGCCTCAACTCAGCATTTCTGCTTGGTTTATTTTTTCAAGGACTTACTCCAGATCATGTGTTTTACCACAATTCATTATCTAGTGTGAGCTCCATCTGTACAATACTGATTATCTTCTGCCAGAAAGACAAAGCATTGATATGACTGTGCTATTCTACCTGTCTCACAATGTTTGAATTTACAAGGCCTGACAGATGGTTACACTTTATTACTGGCAAAATATTTCGATCCTGTGATAGTCACAACTGATCCAGTTTCCTTAAGACTGTTCATTTTAGAGCTTATCACAGAGGGGCTGAAGCTCAATGACTGCAGATGTGTCCAGGTCCAGCTGAGATGGGAGGACAGACCGACACTCTTGTTCTGGTTTTGGTTTAGGTCACATTTATTTCTACATTCCATTGCAATCAAAATGACCAGAATCTTCATCAAAAATTTGTGTCCTATGGGATATTCAGAGCCTTGCCCTAAGCCACTTGCCCAAATAGCACTACTAGTGTACAAATCAAATGTGCAGTCAAACCTTTGCTGCTAGGTATGGTTATGTGCATCACAAAGTATGACACCTTGAGCTATCATATGGTACTTCCAAACCTGGCTTTGCTGTTTCCTATTCAAAATGAACATCAATCCATGTACAGTGCAGGATAAGTTTTCTTTCCCTGGTTGTGGATACTTGTTATGTCAAGGAAGGAAACTTCCCCTCTACAGGTTTTATCTGAAACACTGGCTCATTCTTTAAAAAAAACAACTTCCTAACGAGCAGCTTGGTGAGATTTGCTGCCAAATTATGTATTTGACTCATTTTTTTGGCAATGCTGAATTGCTCATTTTTCTCTTGCTGCCCTTAGGAGCAAACCAGATGCTCAGTGAGCTAACAGACCTCTGACAAGGGGAAAAGAGCTCATGCCCTAGAATCCATCAACTGTACATGCTAGGCTGTCTGTAAACACAGTTTTGACCACACAGCACAAGAAATAAATGAGTTGTGTATACACCTCTCCTGAATAATTTGAGGCAATTCAGTGTGTTGACCCTCCTTTACAAAGCCAGTGTGCACGAGTTACTGTTCACCCAATTCTTCTCCCCAGTATAAATGAAATCCAGATAAATTCTCTCTAGCACTCAGCATACTCTTTATGAAGTTTCATGTACAACTGGCAAAAAATGGACTTTCATGGAAATGTTGATTTTCATCAGCAGAAATTGTGGAGAAGCTACAGTAAAGACAAAGGACAGGTTTTTACAGCTCTGCCATCTCACCCCAGTTCTAAGAGCTGGGCCTTAACAATAGCTTGTACCAGAGGCAAACTACATGCTTCATTTTTTTACCACTACAGACAAATCTCTAAAATAGTTCCAGAAAAAAATAGAAAGCACTAAGTTTAAAATCCTTGCATTCAGCATTCTGGTTTTTATGTTGTTTGTTGTTGAAAAATCCAAGCTTTGCTTTCTCTAATTCTGAACTGACAGAGCTGGAAGCAAATTATTAATGCAATAGGCAGCATGCAGACTAAATGTCCTAAGTTTAGGCTCTTACCCAAACACCATGTTTGCTTACCTGGGGATTTTTAAATAAAGCATATTTTTCACTTTTTTCCAAAAACAGAATCTTATTCTCAGTGTCTCGAGTCCAGTCTGATAACACTTGAACGACATTTTCATGGTCTTCAAAAAACCTTTCTGGAGGGACAGAAAAGGTAATGTCAGACATTCAAACTCTTTCTCCCCTATCCTGAGGCTGCAGAAATTCCTGTGTAAGAATGTAATCATTATGTGATATTCACCCAGAGCTGGACAGTCCAGCACTCTTTTCCACTGCACAGATGGGAGCAAAACCACATGAAATTATGTCACATGGAAGGGCAAAGCAGCTACAGAAGACACCTTATGTAGCTGTGGCATGCTCCTGGATTTCTGTGTGCTGTTGCATGAAGACTGCAAAGGATGGAAACAGTGACCCACCAGAAGTAGATGGTTACACCCATATCTTTCAATGGCCTTCTGCTTTTGTTTGGTTCTGGGTTTTTTAAGGTTTGCAGTATGACTGAGGGAGGGGTGTCATATATTCACTTTGTTTAATGAATTGAAAAAAAAGTAAAAAATTATTTCCTTGTCTTTTTACTTTACTTCTTTTACATTGCAAAATTGCTTTACTCGGCAGGAAGAATTCTATGCACTGAAAATAAAATGGTTTCAAGCAATGGTATTTAAAAACACAAATAGCAAACCAGAGGAAATAAGAAGACAGACTGAGGATATACTGTGAAGATATACTGTCTCTGTAGTTAAAAACCTCCCCAACAATGGTAGAGAACTAGTGTCAGGTCCCTTCCTGATCTGATCTGAACCTAGGTCCTCCACCCAGGAAAGCCACAGGGTTTGCTGAGTTTATGCAACTTCTTTCTATTTCTTCTGTGGTTTCACTTACTGAAGCAGTAGCAGTTGAACAGTCACATAAACCCTCTTTCGAAGGAAAAGGAATTGAGCATAATTTGACAGGTCATTTTGGAAGGACCCAAACTACATTTTTCTACAAATTCAGTACTGGAATAGGGAATTCACCCAGCTCCAATTTTTACTGTGATTTTCACACTTCGCTGGGAACAACCATACTCCCATTTCAGCGGCCTGTGGTGACCATATCTTCCAGTGGCCTGGATTGGCCCAGTGTAAGAGGATATAACAGAATGTACAGTTTGTAGGTTTTCTTTTAACACTTCTCATTACTTTGGACAAGGCAGACTGGCCCAGTGTAAGAGGAGATAACAGAATGTACAGTTTGTAGGTTTTCTTTTAACACTTCTCATTACTTTGGACAAGGGTTCAGTATGTCCCACCCAAACTAAATTATGTGAATTAATTAAATTCACACAGCGAGATCAGCTTCATGGCCAGTTAGCATGTACTTCAGTATGCCCCACCCAAACTAAATGATGTGAATTAATTAAATTCACACAGCGGGATCAGCTTCATGGCCAGTTAGCATGTACACAGTCACTTTTAACAATACAAATGCAACACTCTTCATTTAGCAACTGATACTTTTGCAATGCATTGGAAATAGAAAACACTAGATAATACCCAATTAACCGTTTGAAGGGTAAATATCACTTTATAGTCCAGGATAGCCGTAAAATAACTCTCAGATCGTAACACTAGTCATGCAACAATAATTTTTGCCACATATACTTTTGTCTGTTCATTTTCTGTACCAGGCTTTTCTTTAACAATAATTTTTGCCACATATGTTCATTTTCTGTACCAGGCTTTTCTTGTATAGGAGGTGTGATCTCACCATCCCCAGGATGGTCTTTTTAATAATGATTTTTACTGAAAAAAAAGTCAAATCTGGATGCCTATTATAAGGCAATAGTCTTTATTGCAAAATACATGTTGGTACATACAACCCAGTGTTATATCACCATCTCAATACTGAGATTATTTGTGATATTTAACATGTAATTAATCTAAAATTGCAGCTTATTTTAGTTGCAATGACAGCCTTTCAAAATAACAGTATATGTAAGATACCCTGACAAGGATCTTGTGATATAAAACTAGCTTGGACCTCCAGTTCAGCATGAAATATTTGCTGCTTGGATTTGCTTCTTAAAGTAAATATAATTTTATTCTCTTGAATACTAACGTGGAAAGCAGGCAGAAGGGTGAAGAGCAGAAAAGTCTGTCTTCCTGCT